TTCAACTCTTGAAGGCTGGTGAGTTCCAGCTGCCGTGTACAGTTCAGAATGAGTGGTCAGCTGGGCGCCGGTGGCTCACGCCTGTAATCCTAGCTACTCAGGAGGCTGAGATCTGAGGATCGCGGTTCAAAGCCAGCACGGGCAGGAGAGACCGTGAGACTCCTATCTCCAATAAACCACCAGAGAACCGGAAGTGGCGCTGTAGCTCAAGTGGTAGAGCGCTCGCCTTGAGCTGAAGAGCTGAGGGACAGCGCCCAGGCCCAGAGTTCAAGCCCCATGACCGACAAAAAAAAAAAAAACAAACCAGAATGAGTGGTCAGGAATTCAGTGCTGGAGATAAAACATGTACTGATGGTATTTCTTCTATAGCCTTCTCCAGCCCTCTTCAGTGTCCTGCACACAGTAGGTACTTAAGATATTGGTTGGCTAACTGTTTTATGATGCTCTTTTGTTTTTAGGTGCTGTTGAATTAGAAAACCTCCCATTAAAGAAAGATGCCCTGAAAGAACTGGAATTACCATTTGAAGTCAAAGCTGGTATGTGGAACTGAAGGAGGGGCAGAAAGTTTTGGGTCTCATGATACAGGGACATGGAGACAGAGTCCTGTGTCTCTGTGACCAAGAGCAGAAGGATGAGAAACAGAATTTAGAGCAGTGTGGTCTCTGGGCTGCCTGTGCCAGGACAGGATGACCTGGAGGTGTTGGGTGGGGGTGGGGTCCCAACACATTAAATCAGATCTCAGAGTGAGCCTGCATATATAATAAGTACTGGTGATGTATGAGGGCCTCTGTTTAAACACAAGGGATTCATTTTCTCAGACACTCATTTTGATAGTACTGACAGATTTTTGCCTAAGACATGGGCTCTAGAACAGTATGATTAGGTTGTTATTCTATTTCTGCCACTTTCTGGCTGGATGACCTTGGACAAATTACCTATTACTAGTCTGTCAGCCTAAGAGTCTTTGAAGAGCTGAGTGTTATGGCTCAGGCTTGTAATCCAGCTACTTGGGAGCCTGAGGCAGGAGGATGGTGAATTCCAGGCTAGCCTGGGTGATACTGTGAGCCGGGATTACAGACATGAGCCACCACAACTGGACAGTCCTTTTTATTTGGGGCAGGGGAGGTCCTTCATGGGGCTTGAATTTAGGGCCCAGGCCCTCCCCTTGAGCTTTTCTGCTCAAGGCTAGTGCTCTACCATTTGAGCCACAGTGTCACTGTCAGTTTTCTGGTGGTTAATTGGAGATAAGTCTCACAGACTTTACTTCCTACAGACTTTGAACTGTGATCCTCAAATCTCAGCCTCCTGAGTAGCTAGGATTACAGGCGTGAGCCACCTGTGCCCCACCCCCTGTCTATTTTTGTTAAGAGTCTTACTTTGTGTGTCTGACTGGTCTGGAACTGGCTTGGTTGCCTAAGATGGCATTGAACTTATCCTCCTATCTCAGCTTCCCAAGTTATGTGATGACAGGTGTATATCACCACACTCAACTTGCTGCCTGTTTTTTTTTTTTTTTTTGGTCCGGTCAAGGGGCCTGAACTCTGGGCCTGGG